AGTCTGTCCCCACTCTCCCAGTGTGGGGTCACAGCTCACTCCCAGCATTGATTCCCTTCGAAATTCCTGTTTGTTGAAACAGCAACATTTTATCAAGCTGTTAGCTGTAACTCTGGGTCACAGGACTGGTTATTGTATACAGAGTGCAGTGTAATTCAGGAGCCCTTCAGATCTGAAGTGTTGGAGAAATCATTCAGAATTGACACAGCTTCAGGCTTCTGTCTGTAACATTCAGTTGATTCAATTTACACGGGAATTAAAAATAATCTATTCCAATATGCAGCTGTACCTAAAGCCTTCAGTCAATGCTGCAGCAATTGTAGATTCATTTATCTCAATTATCTCTCTCTATTGCCACCCTCTCCACCTTTATCACAGACATTGGTTTTATTGGTTACTGCAACAGCCCTTTACACAGTGTCAGCCTGAACAGGGGAGCTCTGATCATTTCCAAAAGGAGTTTGTGCTGATACGCTCTGTTACTGATATTGGGAGGAGCAGTGTATCTCATCCTCAGGATGTCTCAGTTTGTACCTTTACAGCTCTGAATCCATCGCGATGCCTGCACACACCAGCAATACAGGTAGAAAGAGGAGAGTGTTCTGTTGAGGGAATGTGAGCAGCTCGGGGCTAAATTACAAAGCAGAACCAAGAAGGTAATAATCTCCGGATTAACAGGCCCAGGCAGTGGGCTGTGAAGGGTGTCATTCCTGCTGAGTATCTGCCCCTCTTCTGCAGTTTCATTCGAACCTGTGTGTCCTTGGGGAAGGAGCACATGGTGTCCATCCATGCTCTTGTTGTTTTTAGAGAGTGGTGGGCACCGTGGGAGATTAAGTGCTGTATCCTCCCCTCCAACTCCATTCTGATTTATTCGCCTCCCCCTCTCCCTACCTCACACCCCCACCTTTTGCTGTCAGCAATGCTAATAACTGATTTTGCTTGTAACCATTCAATTGGCCAGATCGGTATGTTCCTGGTGGGAGAGAAAAGAAATAATCTCCAGATTACTATCTGAGCCACGAGCAAATAGACACAGGGTCAACAAGATTAAAGAGATAAACACATGGCTCAGAGAATGATGTGGGAGAAAATGGTTCGAGTTCAGGGGGAAAAAAAAAATTTCTGACATCAGTTATTGGGAGAACACCAGATTCTATTCTTACCTGCTGATGATGCACTTCGAAAAACAGACATTCGTTTGAACAAATCAACATGTTTTTACAATAGGGACACCCTATTAGAGTGTTCTTCGGGAGTAGCTGGGAAAGGTAGGTGAAGGGGAGCAAGTAAATGTCATGGAAAATGATTTCCAACAAGGCCAGTACATTGCCACATAATCATTTAACAGGACAGAAAAGGACTCATGGAGTTACAGGTAATATATTAGTCTGCAATGAAGGAATGGTTAACAGACAGAAAGCAGAGAGTGCGAATAAACGGGGCATTTTGAAATTGTCAGGATGTGAGGACTGGAGTGTGATAGGGATCAGTGCTGGGGCCTCAGCTATTTCTGATCGATATTGATTATTGAAATGAAGACACCGAGAGTAATGTATTGATGTTTACCATTAACACAAAGCTGGTTGGAAAGATAAGCTGTGGGTAGCACACAGAGAGGCTGCAAGTAGATATCGAGAGCATCAGTGAGTGGGCCACAAAATTGCCAATAGAGTTTAACAGGGGGATGTGATGTCATAAGGATAGAAAAGACAAGTATTTTTTAAAGTGTGAAACTTGATGTTCTGAGAGGATTGGGTGTTGTCATGAAAGAACACAGAAAGATAGCATGAGGAAGACAAATAACGTAGAATTTACGATGAAGGGGATGGAATAAAGGGCTGAAGGAGTCTTGCTACAGTTGAGCCGGGAGTTGGTGAGGCTACAGCTGGAACTCTGTGTCCAGTGCTGCTCTCCAGATTAAAAGGCGGGGGGAGCGGGCTGGACCTGGACTTGGAAGAGCTCCAGGGAAGGGACACCTGCTTGGTCAGTGGCTTGAGTGTGTTGTCCAATGATAAGGAACTTCAATCAATGTTCTCTGGAGTTTAAAGACCGAGAGGGGATCTTGTTGAAACATAAAGGATTCTGCAGCAATTTGATTGGGCAGCTGCTGAGAGACTTTTCCACTGGGAAGCAAATCAAAAAGCTGGATCCACTCTTAGGATCAGGGTCCAATCATTCAGAGTGAGGTAAAGAAAAAGTCCTTCCCTCAGAGTGTTGTTAATGTGTGGAAACTCCCTCACAGTGGGGTTCAGCCATTTCCATCATTATATCGATGTTAGTCTGGGGCTGAGAGATTTTGGCAGATTCTGGGAATTGAGAGACAGCCGGGGGGGGTGAAATGTGGGGGTGAAACCCCAAGGTCATGATCAAGAGGCTGAATGGCCTCCTCCTGTTCCTGTTTCCGATATTTGTATTGTGATGGGGAATCACTCAGAGACAGGGAAAGATTCCCAGTGAGGACAACATGAGATTGAAGATCTCTTTTCCCAATCCTGTGCTGTTTTATAATTCCTGTCTGTTAATATTTTATGGTGTGAAGCTATGTTTAGTCAGAGAGCTGACATCCATCTCCAGCACAGCAGCAATGCCACTCTGTAGCTGTCTAACTGTCCACTCCACAGTGCAGTCTGATAAAGTACACACACAATCATTCAGCTTTTACCTGGACATCATTACAGGGAATGGTTATTCCTGCTATCGAACAGGGTGTAGAGAAAGCTTTACTCTGTATCTAACCCCGTGCTGTCTCTGCCCTGGGAGTGTTTGATGGGGGGGACAGTGTAGACGGAGCTTTCCTCTGTACCTAACCCCGTTCTGTCCCTGTCCCTGGGAGTGTTTGTTGGGGGGAACAGTATAGAGGGAGCTTTACTCCATACCTAACCCCATGCTGTCCCTGTCCCTGGGAGTGTTTGATGGGGGGGACAGTGTAGAGGGAGCTTTACCCCGTACCTAAGCCCGTTCTGTCCTTGTCCTGGGAGTGTTTGATGGGGGGAACAGTATAGAGGGAGCTTTACTCCGTACCTAACCCCGTGCTGTCCCTGTCCCTGGGAGTGTTTGATGGGGGACACAGCGTAGAGGGAGCTTTACCCCGTACCTAACGCCGTGCCGTTCTGGTTGCTGTTTCCAGGAGAACCCGTACATGTGCAACAATGAGTGTGACGCTCGCACGCCTGAGCTCGCACACCCGCCCGAGCTAATGGTGGATGATGAGGGCCGGGTCCCAAACACCTTTTGGCAAAGTGTCTCATGGAGGCAGTTCCCGGAGCCTCTGGTGGTCAATCTGACCCTGTCCTGGGGTAAGAGCATCGAGCTGACCGAGGATATTATCATCACCTTTGAGTCAGGCCGGCCAGAGCAGATGGTGCTGGAGAAATCGCTCGATCATGGACGAACATGGCACCCATACCAGTTCTACGCAGCTGACTGCATCAGCTCCTTTGGCATGGAATCTCGGAGGGCGCGGGATCTGAGTGTCGCTTCCGTTCTGGACATTATCTGCACTGAGGAGTATTCTCGGGGCTATGTGTGGAAGCTGGAGAAGACGGTGCGTTTTGAGATCCAGGCGCGGTTTGCCCTGTTTGGGGGACCCTGGCTCCGTGATATGGCCTCCCTGTACAGCCGCTTGGACACTACCAAGGAGCTGAGGGACTTCTTCACTGTGACTGACCTGAGGCTGCGGCTCCTTCGGCCTGCTACTGGCCCCACCAGTGTCGACCCTCACAACCTCTCCAGGTACTTCTATGCCATCTCCAACCTGGACATCAGGGGCAGGTGAGACCTTCACAACCCTCCGCCACTGCACTGGGGGCAACATCTGGGGGGAATGTCGGGGGGATGTCTGGAGGGGATATGAGGATCAACATCTGGGGGATACCAGGGGCAACATCTCAGTAGCATATCAGGGGAAATCAGGGGCAACATCTGGGGTAACATCTGTGTGTCTATCGGGGGCAACATCTGGGGGGAATGTCAGGGGATATCTGGAGGGGATATGAGGGTCAACATCTGGGGGACACCAGGAGCAACATCTGGGGGAATATCAGGAGGGAATCGGGGCAACATCTGTGGTAACATCTGTATGTATATCAGGGGCAACATCTGGGGGAAATATCAGGGGATATCAGGGGCAACATCTGGGGGGAGTGTAGGCAGATGTCTGGGGGAATATCAGAGGGATATCTGGGGCAACATCTGGGATAACATCTGTGTGAATATCAAGGACAACAGCTGGGGGGAATATCGGGGGATATCTGGGGGGAATATCGGGAGGATATTTGGGGGGAATATCGGGGGGATATCTGGGGGAAACACCAGGAGCAAGATCTAGGGGCAAAATCTGGTGGAAATATCTGTGGGGAATATCAGGGGCAACATCTGGGGGAAATATGTGGGGGTATCTTGGGGAATCATCTGGGGCAACACCCAGGATAACATCTGGGGGAATAAAAGGAGGATATCAAGGCAACATCTGGAGGGGGATTACCTGTAAGGTATATCGGAGGGAATATCTCAGGGAAATAGTAGGGGTAACATCTGGGGCCTAACATGTGGAGGAAACATCTGAGAATAACATCTGGGGGGAATATCTGGGGGGAAATGTCTGCAAGAAATATCCAGGGATCATTTGTGGAGGTGTGGCATCAGGGTCACCATCTGGTGGCCATTGGGGTGACCATCATGTTGGCATTGGGGTCTCCATCTTGGGGATACTCAGGATTAACATTGAAAGGGTAATTACTGTCTCATATTAACATCTGGAGGCTGCTGGGTCCTGGAACATCCTGATCCCCAATCCCTGGGAATAATCCTGGGGTGACTGTCTGGTTAGAAACATCTGGAAGGCATCCTATAGGCTAACGTTGGGAAATGACATTACCAAAGACCAACACATTCAGTGTTTGTGGAAAACCTTAAGGGAAATTGTTGGGGTTCACACCTCGGGGATAATCTCCCAGGGCCAATGTCTGGAGGGTGCTGGATGATCAAACATCTGGAGTCCCCCTCTCAGGGCTGACATCTGGATTGGGTCACTCTGGGAGTTTCTGAGAGGATCACAGATTACTCATAGAACATAGATAGGACATAGAACATAGAACTGTACAGCACAGGAACAGGCCATTCAGCCCAAATTAAACTAACCCCTTCCGCCTGCCCTTGGTCCATATCCCTCCATTCCTTCCATATGCACGTACTTACCTAAAAGTCTCTTAAATGCCCCTTTCATATCTGCCCCCACCACCATTGCTGCCAGCGTGTTCCAGACTCCTACCACTCTCTGTGTAAAAAACTTGCCCCCCACATCTCCTTTGAACTTTTCCCCTCTCACCTTAAATGCATTCCCCTAGTTTTAGATGTTTCAACTCTGGGAGAAAGATTCTGACTGTCACCACTATCTATGCATGTCGTAATTTTATAAACTTCTATCAAGTCTCCCCTCAGCCTCTGCCACTCAAAGAGAAAACAACCTGAGTTTTTCTAGCCTCTCCTTATCGTTCATACCCTCTAATCCAGGCAGCATCCTGGTAAACCTCTTCTGCGCCCACTCCAAAGCCTTCACATCCTTCCTGTAATGCGGTGATCAGAAATGAACACAATACTCTAAGTGTGGCCTAACCCAAGTCTTATATAGCTGCAACATGACATCCTGACTCTTGCACTCAACTCCCTGGCCAATAAAGCCAGGCATGCCACATGCCTTCTTTACCACCTTATCTACTTTTGTGGCCACTGTCAGGGAGCTATGGGCTTGAACCCCAAGATCCCTCTGCTCCTTTTTCTCCCTTTGATCAGAGCAGCTGATGTGAGCCCTTGGTAAGTGTTGTGTTTTCACAGGGATGGATTGTGATGCTTCCCCTAGTCAATCAGCAGTGCCCTGTGTCCCTGTACTAGGTTCCCTGAAGGAGTGTGACTACAGGCTAGGCATTAGGACATCTCCCATGGCCCTCTCCTCACAGCCAATCCCCAATCTCGTCACAGAATCAGGCAGCACTGGGGAAGGCCAATCAGCCCCTCAGTCCTAGCTCCATGAGAGTTCTATTCAGTTTATCCCGCTCCCTGTCGCTCCGTTTTCCCGTAATGTTCCTGTTTAATTACTGAAAGCTGTTGCTGATGTTGGGGACTTTTCTGACAGAATGCTTCCCTGTGTGTGGAACCTACATTCAGTCTGGAACAGTGAACCCTTCACCCCACCATCTCACTCTCTCCAGGGCTGGTAACCATTAGTTCATTATTCTAGAGTCAGCTTCTGGGAGACTCACTCGAGGTTTTAGTGCGGGAGAAACTTCAAGCACTAATTAGAGAACTGCAGCAGTAAAATGTTGATGCTGCCCTTCAACTGCCTCCAAGGAACTGTCTGCATTTTGCTTAGTTTAGTAAAATATACCCAGAACTGCCAATTTGTAAAATGTGCAGGGGACGGTCTACAGATTCGGAAGCTTTGTGCGGAGTTAAAGATTGACTGGATATTATCAGCACAGACTCACTGAGCAAACTGTTCACACACTGAAACACTTGGGCCCTCACTAAATCACATCTATTAAACAACAACAATGAGCCTCTCTATAGCACCTTCCACACAATGGACTGTCTCTCAGTGTTACACAGGAGAGGAACTCAAACACAGCAGGAATACATTGGGATGGATGTGAGTTTGCAGGTTCACTTGGATGATTGTCTGGATCAGACTCTTTCTGGATTTTTTTAATCCTCTGAAGGACACGATTGCACACCAACTGTGAAGGCCTCACTCAATATTGGCAGCCCTGCCTTCAGCTGCCTGGTGCCTGGGCTGTGCTGTTCCCTCCCTAAACCTCGCTGCTTCACCACCTCTCTCCCCCTGACATTGTGATTCTCTGTAAACTGCCCGCTTTGGCCAGGGTTATGGTCACCTCTCTCAATAATTCCTCCTGTGGCTCAATGTCAAATCAGGTTTGATAATTCCTCTGAGGTTTTGGAGTAGATCTGTAGCTCGGGTTGTGGGTGTTGAGGTTGGTTGCTCGCCGAGCTGGTTTGTTGTTCTGCAGACGTTTCGTTACCGTGCTTGGTAACATCCTCAGTGCAGCCTCTGATGAAGCGTTGGTGTGTTTTCCTGCCTGGCTTTTAAACTCTGGGGTCCGTTGTGATGGATTGCCTCACTGGATAATTCCTCCTGGAAAGCACCTTGGGATCGTTTACTCTGTTAATGGTGCTATATAAATGTACAAGCTTCCTTTCAGAGCAGCAGGAAACTACAACAACAACTGGCATTTCCATGGCCCCTCTGGAAGAGCATGTGCTAAAGAGCTTGCAATGCAAGGAGACACCTGGAGTTTGTGACAGGTGCTATATAAATGCAGGGTCTTTCTTTGTGGGCCTAGGGTATTTGAGTTGGTGATGATACTCACTCCTGCCCTGCAGTTGTTGTTGTTGTTGCTGAGGGTCTGATGATGACTGAGTAGACAGACAATGAGCACCAGGCCTGTCTGCTGCTGTGAATGTGAGTCAGTGAGGGAAATGGTGTTGTTGTTGGCTGCTCAAAGAGACACAGAGAGCCTCTGCACAGAGTCTTTTCTCGAACCAAGTTGCTGAGCACGTTCTGAAGCAGCTCGTTGTTGTCTGTTCCCAGGTGTAAGTGTCATCTTCATGCCAACAACTGTATCTTGGAGAACGAGAGGCTGAGCTGTCAATGTGAACATAACACAACAGGCCAGGATTGTGAAAGCTGCAGAAATGGTTTCCAAGGGCGGCCGTGGAGAGCAGGCTCCTATCTCCCTATCCCCAAAGGAACGGCCAATGTCTGTGAGTAACAAACATTTCGTCAGGGTCACTGCAAGATCCACTTCACTTCCAGCTCCCTCCCAACTCCCAGCAACTCCGAGATTCCCAATTCCAGCCCAGTCACTGTTTCCTATTGTGTTCCTGTGCAGACACTGACTACGGACACACACACACAGACACACACACACGCACACGCACGCACACACAAACATGCATACACACACGCGCGCTCACACACAAGCACACACGTGCTCTCACACACACACACGCACGCACACACACACACATGGAACATAGAACATTACAGTGCAGTACAGGCTCTTCGGCCCTCGATGTTGTGCCGACCTGTGAAACCAATCTGAAGCCCATCTAACCTAAACTATTCCATTATCATCCATATGTTTATCCAATGACCATTTAAATGCCCTTAAAGTGGGCGAGTCTACTACTGTTGCAGGCAGGGCATTCCACGCCCTTACTACTCTCTGAGTAAAGAACCTACCTCTGACATCTGTCCTATATCTATCACCCCTCAATTTAAAGCTATGTCCCCTCGTGCTAGCCATCACCATCCAAGGAAAAAGGCTCCCACTGTCCACCCTATCTAATCCTCTGATCATCTTGAATGTTTCTATTAAGGCACCTCTTAACCTTCTTCACTCTAACGAAAACAGCCTCAAGTCCCTCAGCCTTTCCTCATAAGACCTTCCCTCCATACCAGGCAACATCCTGGTAAATCTCCTCTGCACCCTTTCCAATGCTTCCACATCCTTCCTATAATGCGGTGACCAGAACTGTACGCAATACTCCAAGTGCGGCCGCACCAGAGTTTTGTACAGCTGCAACATGACCTCATGGCTCCAAAACTCAATCCCTCTACCTATAAAACCTAATACACCGTACGCCTTCTTAACAACGCTATCAAACTGGGTGTCAACTTTCAGTGATCTATGCACATGGACACCAAGATCTTTCTGCTCATCCACACTACCAAGAATCTTACCATTAGCCCAGTACTCTGTATTCCTGTTACTCCTTCCAAAGTGAATCACCTCACACTTTTCTGCATTAAACTCCATTTGCCGCCTCTCAGCCCAGCTCTGCAGCTTATCTATGTCCCTCTGTAACCTGCAACATCCTTCCACACTATCCACAACTCCACCGACTTTAGTGTCATCTGCAAATTTACTAACCCATCCTTCTACGCCCTCATCCAG